AATTCCTTCCAGCTGCCCAATGCCCATTAGTTGCATGAATAAATATTATTTTATACAAATGGTAGTATCACATACTGTTCTTCTCATTGCCTTTTTCACTTAACAATATGTTCTGGGTGCCTGGCCGGTGTGGTTCAGTGCTTGAGCATCCACCTATGAACCAGGAGGTCAGGGTTCAATACTGGGTCAGGCCATATGTCTGGGTTTCGAGCTTGATCCCAATTCGAACTTGACATGCAGGAGGTAGCTGATCAATTATTTTCATTATTGATGTTTCTCTCTCTCCCTCTCTGAAATATATTTATATATATATATATATATATATATATATATATATATATATATATATATATAATTTTAAAGACAGGACAAATTCTTGATTCCTTCTCTTCCCTGACAAAATACCCTAGGTCCAACTTGTTTATTTTTGCCTCAGATTTCGAAGCAGCCATTTCTCTACGAATCCCTGATTCCTTTTAGTGGTGGCCCCATCACTGTAAATGTTTGTTGTCCCTAGGACACTGGCTGGCTATATGGGGTTCTCTGACTTTTAAGTTCGATAGTGAGAGAACCAGCACGCTTAGGTTCAAAGAAAAGTCATCCAGTTAACCAGCTGAATACATCTTTAATTTTCTCACACAGAAGTCATCCAGCCAAAATGGTAACTCTGTGTTTCCTACCCAGTCTTTAGCGAAGGACCTGTCAGAAGCGGAGGAGCAGTATGCCCATGCCCTGCGCAGCCACTTGCACAACATTGACCGTCTGTTGGCCTTGCAGAGGTGCCGACTCAACCTCCTGGAGGAAAACTACAACATGGAGCTGGAGACCCTCACCAAGGAGTTTGAGACAGAAAGGTATGGGGGTCTGAGTCCCCAAGGAGCATGGAGAGCCTGTGTAAGGAGCTGTCTGTAAGCAGGTGGCCAGCACTCAAGCATCCCACCTGGATTATGACATTACCTCCATCAGAAAAGACCCTGACTTCCTTCTAAACTGATGTGGGCTTAGCTTGTGGCCTTAGCCTTCCTTTGCCCATGCCAGGTCCCTGTTTGTAATGTGTCATCACCACTGTCAGCTCTCAAAATCCTCCCCATCTGGCAGGGGACAGGAATGGGAAGGAGACTTCTCGCTGTAACCTATGCACTTTTTAATTTTTATATCACATGAATATATTGACCTATTCAAAAATAAAAATCATCTTATTCTTTTTGGCCCTAAAGGAAATAGATCCCTCCCTTCAAGGGAAGGTGAAAACTTGGATTTTTATGTGAACCCTCCCATAAAAATTAGTCCCTAAGAGTTTGTACCATTCGTAGAGTTTTATCACATACTGCTTTGAGTTGTCATTATTGGCCCATTTGCTGTATTCCTCAAAGCAGGGACAGTGTCTTATCTTCCCTAGGAAGACTATTATTGACCAACATGAAAAAGAGATTCACTACCTACAAGATGTCTTCATGGCCATGGAGCAGAACTACATAGATTCTGAGTATGAAAGCAAGCTGGAGTTCCAGAGCATGTGGGATGATCTCAAAAACAAGGTACAGAGGGGAAGTAATGGGCAAGAGATGGGCGAGAAGTGAGAGGAAAATGCTCCAGGCGAGCAGCTCAGAGAGAGATTCCTTTAACCAAGATAATCAATAAAATGCCTGTTGCCACTGTAGGAACACCTACTGCCTTTTGTTCTTTTGTGAAGATTGGTCGGGAGGGAGGGTCATTCCGAGATGTCAAGGCAATGCCTTTTAAAGCTAATAAGCAACAAGCAGATAATCTGGCTTCACCTGGGAAAGAGATGCTTTGATTTCTGGCCCCAGTCTTTTTACCTGTCTCACTGAAGACCCTCAGTTATTCAAGTGTTTCTTCTAATCAACTCTGTCCTTCCGGGATCCCATAATTATTTTGAAAGGCAAGATCGTGGTAGACAGCCATGAGATTTGTAGATGAAGAAATGAAGGCCCTGTAAAGTACAATGACCGGCCGAAGTCCTGCTGCTGGCCTGTGGCGGAGCCGGGGGAGAATCCAGCTTCTGGCCCCTGGGCCAGAGTGCTTTCCACCATCCTGTAGGCTGCAAGCTTTAGCTAGCCTGCAGAGCGGGGTTTGAGTATGAGATTCTTTGTTTTTATTTTGCCTGAAGTGGTTTTTTGTGTTTTTTTAAAATATATTTTATTGATTTTTTTACAGAGAGGAAGGGAGAGGGAAAGAGAGTTAGAAATATTGATCAAAGATAAACATCGATCAGCTGCCTCTTGCACATCTCCCACTGGGGATGTGCTCGCAACCAAGACACATGTCCTTGACTGGAATCAAACCCAGCACCCTTGAGTCCGCAGGCTGACGCTCTATCCATTGAGCCAAACCGATTTCTGCACCCTGTAGTGTTTTGTAAAACATTTTATAGTGTTCCAAAATTTTAAAAATGGGAGGTTTCACATAAAAATCCAAGTGTTTACCTTCCCTTGAAAAATGTGAAGATCTGGTAACACCGGGTCCGTATTTCCAAATGGAGACACTCAGGAGGAGCTGAGCAGCTGTGCCTTCCCCCTCCGCTAAAGAGCATTTCCTCTCTGGTTCACCACAGGTCCCCTCTCGCCCCCAGCACTTATTTATATCATCTGCCTGGTCTTTGTAGGCATTTTCATTGGCGACCCTGCACTCTCTTGTGCTATAAACAGGGCAAGAGTGTGAGGTTACTGGTGGAAGTGAAAGGGCACTAAAAGGGTAATTCCAAGCATTGGCTATTTTGGGGCCACTTCCTAGAATATAGAAGAGAAGCACTTTCTAAGACTGCAACTAGAGAGTGTAGTAGAAGATCTGTGGAGAAGGTTCCAGGATGCACTTAAGAATTACACTGATGCCACAGAGGATCGAAAGATTGCCTTTGAGGCTTTGAAATTGAAGGACGAGAAGAGCTCCAAAGACATTGAAACACAGATGAAAAGAATACAGAGACTGCAGGTGAGTGCACCCAATCAGAAATACTCACTGCTTTACCTTCTTCTTATCCCCTCCCTGTTCATCTCCTCTTCCCCCTGTCCCCCCCAGTTCCCATGGGGCCGCATCACTAGTTGGGGAAAGAGATGCTTTGATTTCCGTCCCCAGTCTTTTCACCTGTCTCACTGAAGACCCTCAGCCAGTCAAGGGTTTCTTTTAATCTATTATTCCAGGATTCCATACTTATTTTGAAAGGCAAGATCATGGTGCATAGCCGTGAGAGTGAAGAACAGAACCAGTACATTCGTGATGACAAGGAGTTGGTCCTTATCCAACTACGAAAACTTAAGGCCCAAAGGACTCATGTCTGGGAAATAGCACAGGAGAATTTAGTCAAACTCACTCTGGAAAGTAACACCGCCCTCAAAGTCCTGACAGCGATTGTTGATAAGGTGACAGGGGAGAGGGTGGCCCAAACCCTGTGACGTAAAAAGGGTTTGAGAATGGTAGAGGATGCTTCCTCCTGCTTTCTGCCCGAGTGGGCACTTGGAATACCTTTTTTTAATTTCATGTCCCCTTCCCACTCACATTTTTTAAAAAATATATTTTATTGATTTTGTACAGAGAGGAAGGGAGAGAGATACAGAGTTAGAAACATCGATGAGAGAGTCATCGATCAGCTGCCTCTTGCACACCCCCCCCCCCACTGGGGATATGCCCGCAACCAAGGTACGTGCTCTTGACCGGAATCGAACCCGGGACCCTTCAGTCCCCAAGCCGACGCTCTATCCATTGAGCCAAACCAGTTTCAGCCTTCCCACTCACATTTTAAGTTAAATGCATTAATAATGAATGGATTTTGTAAGAATGTAAAATACTTGCCATGCAGTAAGCACTCTGTGTGAGATGTGCATATTACTCGTCTCCCACTTAAATTAACAGCTTCCCTGGTTCAAGCAGGGAACCAGCTCCAATACTCCCCTTCCCGTGTCTTTCCTAATAAGAGGTGTCTTCCTGCTTTCCATAGGGCGAAAAGGTCCTTAGACTTGCTGAAATATGTAGGAAACTTGAAACAGAGGAAGAAAAAGTGCTGCCTTTTTATTCATCAACATTGACTCCGGAGGAGCTGGAGGAGATAGAAGAAATTACCCCAGAGGAGCTTACTGAGGAGCTGGCAAAGGTAAAGTTCCCAGGGCGCAGAGGCCTTGGTTTAAGGTTGGGGATGACGGATCCCGGGCTGTGTTCACTAATGGGCCCCACCACACACCTCCCTTTAAATCCATTCCCAGGTGATAGCAGATTACATAGGGATGGATAATTTCTGGAAACGGTACAACAAAGTGAAACTAGAACAACTGAGCCTCCAACAAAGACGTAGCCAATTGTTAGACATCAATGGGAAGCTGCGGGAGATGCTCAAGCGGTACCTGGATGGCATCTCAGTGAGCGACGAAGTGCTGAGCCAGCTCAACCCACTCTTCATCGTCAACTACCGAAGCAACTTACCCCAGCCCTTGTCCAAACCTACAACCCAGCCAGGTAACAAGAAAAGTCAACCCACTTACAACGTCATTGAGGCAGCCCACGTGGTCTCCCATATCCTGTGATACAAGGAGAAAATCTCTTTTCAACCTCCAGAGAATTTTTTTGAGACCTGAGGATTTTGCTATTAAAAATTCCCATAGAGCTCATGAGCCCCTTTTATCTTTGCCTTATTGGACAGAAGAGTCTATGTTTACAACACCAGGAAGTAAGCAGACCAGGGCATGGAGAGGATAGCTAGGCAACTACTAGGAGGCTTATTTCTCAATGAAGCATTACTCCCGGAGTCAGGTCACCAAGGGAGCCAAAACCTATACCTCTCGGACCTAAAAATCCGGTGGGAATTCAAGCACAAGCCCCAGGAGTCAGTCAGGACAGGAAGAGGAGGCCGGGGGAAGAGGTGATTCAGAGCCTCTAGCCAACCCCACGACAGACAAGATCCAGCCCCTTCACCTCATCCCCACTTCCAAAAGTAGCCACAGAAAGGATCAGTTGACGAACGCAAAGAAGTTTTTTTAAATTACTATTTATTATTTCTTTTTGCTCTTGTTTCGTTTCTCTTCCTTGAGCTTCTTTTTGGAGACTTTAGGACTGCTGGCCTTTTTGTACAGGTGATACCCAATGAGGCTCAGGAGGGCCGGCACCATTGCCATGCCCACCAGAGGCAGAACGCCCTTCATCAGCTTTTGCCAGTAGTTGGCTCGGATCAGTGCAATCAGCTCCACGTCAAACTGCAGCACTGCATCCGCTGGAGGCAGAGAAGAGGCGAGGGTTAGGGTCTCTGTGCAGTTCATCTAGGACTCTGAATGAATGAAAACAGGGAAGGCAGGCCACACCAGAGCAACAACTATGAAGCTGGAAAGATTTAAATGTGGGGTTGAGTTCCCTTAGACAAGGCAGCGATGGGTTATGAGCAGAGTCTAGTGATAATCGTGTTTCCCCCAAATATACAAATGTGGCTTGGTTTCCATGATGGGTCTTTGACAGCACAGGGAGAGTTTCTGTGGATCTGAAACGTGCACACTGTTCTCCATTTATGAGTGAGAGAAGCCTCTATACTAACTGTACTCCATTTCCAAACAACCGCAAGGATATCATCTTTGCAGGGCTGAAATTAATTAGATTTAAACTAGACTTTTAAATTCTACCAACCAGTGAGCATCTTCAATGAAATTATTAGAGAAGATAGGTGTTCTAACGTAAGAGCTTCAGAGAAGAAGGATGTGTCTTAAGAAAGAAGGTATGTGGGAATGAGTGAGAAGTGAGAAAGACATGTAAATAGAAGCAGCACCAGAAAGCAGAAGGTACTAGAGCTTTCTCTTTAGTCACCCTATCCTCTCTCCAGGTCTCCCTCTAAGCTGGAACTGGGATAAGAACTTTTACCCTGATACACATTTATAACACATTTTATAACACATTTTAGCTAATAGAACATGTGTTATAACCAAAAGCAAGAGACATACATCTTGTGAAATCTGTCCAATCCCAGGCCTTTAAGAGTAAGAATCAGCAGTGACTTGAGAGGGCTTTTAAAGTTATGGGGTGGGCTTGGCTTTTAAAAGTTGTTCTTGTGTTTCATTTTGTTTTCAATTACTTGACTGTGATCCTTTTTCCTGGTGAAGACTGAGAGGAAGGGTGGAGATGCAGCGAGAAGCCATGCCAACTGCACAAATGACTCCATTTGTAATTGCAGGAAAAGACAGGAAAGTAGTCCAGAGTTCTGGGAAGCAGGCCCATGTGGCACAAGCAGGTGTCTCCTTTCTGTAAAGCTGCTGGCTGCCAGAGGACAAGCCAGGTGACATTAACAGGCTCTCTGGTCCCTGGAGAGGGCCCCAGCCACCGCTGTCTCTTTTCACAAACTGATTTAGACCTTCTCAAGCTCCAAATCATATAGCTCTGAGAGACGGGTATTTTGATTTGAAAGAGAGCTCTGGTCCGGTTACCTGGGATAGATGGTGGAAATCCCCGTTTTCCATAGGCCAAGTGAGAAGGAATGATTGCCCTTCGCTTCTCTCTGAGGGAAAGAATGTAAGTCACAGCCAGAGGTAGGACCAGGTAGGCCAGCAGCCTCAGTCCATCTGAAGCTCCACCAGCAAAACCCTCTAGGTATTCATGTCCAAAAGATGGACTTTCCCACCTTATACCAAACGGGTTGCCCAGCAAAGGTTATATATATATATACATCCAGCCCCCCTCCCCCCATGCTTCAACTCCTCCAACAAAACCCACAGCCAGAGAGGCACAGGGGTCCCGATGACTGATGCAAAGCCAGGGTCCTCTGTCCCATGCTTTCCTGCTTCCTCTAGAAGCAGAGGCAGCAGCGAACACTTCCAGCCGTGCAAAGGGAGTACCCAAGCCCATCTCTGCCCAGATACTCACCCCACACACATGTCTAGAAGGCTCTGCTCCAGACCTTGAGGAAGAAGACATAACTGAACAGGAAGCTACCTACAGTCCCAAAATCCCAGGAGAGGGGATCAATGGTTCCCCCTGCACCCTGAGCTGAGCTCCCCGCTGCTTAGATCTCGGGCTTCCTTCTCTAGGGTATGGGGCAAGAGGAGTACTGGAAGTGGGGTCTGAACCTCAGGAGGGCCATTTCTAAGGTAGCTCAGGGATTGAAGGGGTTAAGAAAGCACTTAGGTTGGCATGAGTGGGAGGCACAGGTCACATACCTGGGATCACCTGCTTTTGGCCAAGTTCTATAACCAGAGGGTCTCTGGTCAGGGAAGTATCAATAACTCGTCCATCTACCAAGCTGCCCTGAGGAGAGAGAGCATCCAAAGCTCACACCTAGTAACACGCCCTCCCATACACACCTGGGCTGCGGGCGGGGCAGCCCCCGAGCAGCTGCAGCCTAGCACTCCCCTCCGGGCAGAAAGGAACAGGAAGCCCTGAAGGACTGGCACTTATCGGAGATCTCCCTTCACTTCTCAGTGCTCGGGAGGAACTGGGGGGAGTGGAGGATCAGAGAGGGGAAATGGACTGGAAGAGGAACTTGTCTCCCCCCCCACCCCCCACCCGCCACGTGCTCCAAGACCCCAGAGCCCAGTCACTCCCCTAACCACTCGCCACGTGTCCAAGCCAGAGCTGACGTGTTGCACCGGGGCGCCGCCCCCTCCCAGGCTCCGCCCGCGCCCCCGCACCCCTCACCGTGTAGTGTATGTGCAGCGTGTCTCCCAAGGCAGCGGGCTCCGCGCACGGCTCGGGGGGCTCCACCTATGACCGGACTACAGGAGTCACGGAGGATCCTCCAAAGATCCCATTCTTGTCCCAAACCCGACACCCTCAGCTCAGTCCCCGCGCTTCTCCTCCCAGCTCGCACGTTCACTGGGACCTGGATTCGCGCTCCAGACCTGCCCCGCGGAGCGGACAGGGGCAATCTCCTCACCAGGGTCTCCACTTGGAGGGTCCGGACGGGACTTTCGGTTTCGAACCCAGGCTCAGCCTGGCTCGCCGCTCCACCGAGCAGCAGCAGCACCAGCGGCAGCAGGCGGAGCGGGAGCAGCGGCGGGCGCAGGGTCATGGTCGGACTCGGTGCAGCGCGCTGGACACCAGGACCGGCTGCCTGGGTGGCGGTGGCTAGAACAGCGGTTCGCTCAGCGCCCAGGCTGACTGGACGGGACGGGGCGGGTTGGACACACCAGCTCCTCCTCCTGCAGCCCCTCCTCCACCTTGTCCCCACCTCCTGGAGGGCGGAGGCCCCAGGAGCCCTCCCTACCCTCTAAGATCCGAGGCTGTGGATTCTGGTCGGTCCGTCAGCGTCCTGTCTGTCCCACAGCGAGGGCCCGGGACACATACCACCGCCCACTGTTAACTTATGTGGCAGGCCCTTGTCTGTAATCCTCAAAACCACCCTGAAAAGTAGCCGTAATTGTTCCCATTTTACAGATGAGTAACTGGGTGCTCGGGTTAATTTACCCAAGGCCATCCAGCCAAGTGGAGACAGAGACAAAGTTCAAACCCAAGACTGCCTGAATCCAGCCTGTTTGCTTTCTGCTTTTGTCTAAGACACCCGGCTCCTCACGCCTATTCGGGCAGTGTCGCGGTGTCTGGCTGGCCCATCCTACACCAGCAGCTGTCAAAGGCAGCATCTCTCCCATCTCCCGTGTGAATTTTTGGAGGTCTGACATCAGGTGATTCTGCATCACGTGTTTTCATCTCTGCACACGCTCATGCTATGCTCTTCCTTCACTTGTCAAGCTCACTTTAGACCAGTAGTTCCCAACATGGGGTATATGCTCCACAGGGGGGCAATTTGATTTTTTAAGGGGGGCAATTCGAGAATGAGTTAACGTGATTTTTTGCATTTCTTATGGTTCTAGGAGCCTCGTATACAGTATATAAATATATGACATATTTATGCATTTCAGTTCTCTATTATGCTTTGAAACTTTATTTGCTATTTTTCATATCACTTCACATTATTATTTTAAACAACTTCCTAGTGATTTCTTCCTCAGTATTTCAACTACACTTTCATTTTTTTATTTTTCTCTTTCATGGATGCCATGTTCTTTGGACGCTTGTTTAGACCAAGTTAATGGCCTTTTAGACTTCTTCCATGTGAATAGTTCACTTTTTGAATAACTTGTCACAGGAGAGCATCAGGATTTTAGAGATGCTTAGGTGGGGCATGGCCAAAACAATAAAAAAAGGTTGGGAACCACTGCTTTAGACCAAGCTCAAATATCACTGATTCCAAGCTAGAAGTAGCTTATTTCTTAACTTCAGGCATACACTCAGGACATTATTTTTCCTTATGTTGTGGTTATTTGTGTACTAGAGGCCAGGGGCATGAAATTCATACACTTGGGGGACAGGGTCCTTCAGCCCAGCATGTGCCCTTTTGCAGTCCAGGAGCCCTCGGAGGAAGTCTGACTGTCCGGGAGAGGCTAGGCTCCTGCCACCCCGGCTGTGCTCACCAGCTCCCAGCCTGGCTCTGGCTGAGCAGCACTCCCCTTGTGGGAGCGCACTGACCATCAGAGGGCAGCTCCTGCACTGAGCGTCTACCCCGGGTGGTCAGCCCGCATCATAGTGACCCGTTGTTCAGCTGTCCAGTTGATTTGCATATTAGTCTTTTATTATATAGGAAGGATGCCTCCCTCCCCTAAAGAAGCAGCACTCTGATGGCAGGAACAAGATTATAATCATGTCTGGAGTCCCTTATGTACTAGCTGAACAATACCCTCCATATAACAGACTCTACACAAATGTTTTATTTTGATTAACTATAGCATACAATACTAAAAAGAAAAAAAAAACACACCAAAAACAAAGACCTAACTATACTAGTTAGAAAATCTCAGACAATTGTATACATTAAGTTAAAAGCAAGAATAATGGATGTGATGAGCCCCTTTATATTTTCACCTTTCTCCAAATATGTATAGTATATTTAAAAAAGGAACTATAAAGATGTCCCCTTTGGGATGGGAGAAAAGCAGGTTTCACATGTTGCACTATACATTTATGTACTGCTTGGATGTCTTACAATAAAAATTACTGTTATAAAATTTTTAAATTAAATATTAAATGAATTAATAATATATGGTCCTGCATTACATAATGATGTTTCAGTCAACAACAGACTGCATATTCAATGGTGGTCCTGTAAGATTTTAATTTCTATAGCCTAGTGATGTCATAGATATGGTAGCTGTCCTAATGTCATAGTCCAGTACATTACTTGTATTTGTGGTGAAGCTGATGTAAACAAACCATCTATACCCCTACACGTATAAAAGTAGAGCACAGACAACTATGTACGGTACATACTTGATAATAATAATGTTACTAGTTTATGTATTTACTACACTATACTTTTTACCAATATTTTATCTTTATTTTTCAAATATATTCTTACTGATTTCAGAGAGGGAGAGGGAAAGACAGAAACGTCAATGATGAGAATCATTGTTTGGCTGCCACCTGCACACCACATAATGGGGATTGAGCCCACAACCAGGCATGTCCCCTTGACCAGAATTGAACCCAGGATCCTTCAGTCTGCAGGCCAATGCTGTATCCACTGACCCAAACCACCTAGGGCTACCATTAGAGTGTGCTCTTTCTATGTATAATAAAAGCTGTGTAAAACAGTATGCTGTTACACCAACAGCAGCCTCATACATCTCTGGGTTACTGTGTTTTTTGATTGCATTACTTTCTCTTGTACTTGATTTAGTTTTGTATTGTTCTGCACAGCAACATGCTTGTAGCCACACCATATACCCTATTAAGCGGCACAGCAATAGAAGGGGATGTGTGGGAGGTGTTGAATGAGCTGTGCTCACAAAGCTAAAGGAGCCAGACCAGGGGGAGGGGAAAGTCCTTGTGATTAGATCATAGGCAGCTCTTAAAAGTGGTATCTTTAAACGAGAGAGAAAGGATAAAGGTAGAGGGCCAGATATTTGAGGGAAATGAATGGACCAATTTGGCTAGAATATGGGGTTTAGCCAAGAGAGAAGAGGAAGTAGGAGAGGGAAGTACAAGCTGGTTGTGGAGAGCCTTGAATGTCAGACTGAGGCAGCGGAACCCACTGAAAGTTTCTGAGCTAAGGGGTAACAGTGCAGACTGTACTGATGTGTATCAGCTGATTGGAATGGTGTCATGAAGGAGGCAGACTATTATCCAGGTCTGAGGCTTTGTTTGGGATCCAAAGCAGAAAGGGAAGTGGGGGTGAAGTGAAGAGAGTGGTAGTGGGAAAGGAAAGGACAAAAACTAAGACAACAAAATCACCAAAAGAGGGCAGCACAAGAAGGCACTTTCTCGTTGGATCAAATTGGGAGGAACCTGAAGGACAGAAAGGTGAGAAGGTTCTGGCCCAGCCCTGACTGGATGCACAGCTTAATCAGAGAACCACTCCTGGAAAGGTCTCCACTCTCAAAGGTGTCTCTGCTGGCAAATGGAAGAAATTCTACCACAGCCCCCTGCTTCCCCAAATTCATGGGGTACCCACTGTGCCCAGCTTGGTTAAGGGCAATATTTATTCATTCATCAAAGATGAGTGCTATGCCCAGCTGGTGTGGCTCAGTGGTTGATGACAACTCATGAATCAGGAGGTCACTGTTCAATTCCCTGCCTGGGTTGTAGGCTCTATCCCCAGAAGGGGGCATGCAGGAGGCAGCTGATCAATGATTTTCTCCCATCATTTATGACTCTCTTTCTCTCGCCTCCTCTCTTCCTCTCTGAAATCAATGAAAACGTATTTAAATATATATATATATATATATATGTGCCACTATGTGCCAAACAGTAAGCAGGCACTGCTTTTAAGAGAAAGTTTTATTGACTGATTTGAGAGACTGATTTGTTGTTCCACTCACTCACATATTCATTGGTTGCCCTGACCTGGGGGTCGAACCTGCAACCTTGGCCTGTGGGGATGACGCTCTATCAACTTAGCTGCTCAGCCAGGGCAAAAGAACTGCTTTTTAAATGTTTCTTATTAAACATGTTGTTATTATTAAACATATTGTTAATAAATAAAAAGTCTGTGAGTCAGCATAGGCAAATCTGGGTTCAAAATCTTTTTTTTTAAAGGGTTACTTTCTTTTTTTTTAATATATTTTACTGATTTTATACAGAGAGTAAGGGAGAGAGGTAGAGAATTAGAAACATCGATGACAGAGAGTCATCAATCAGCTGCCTCTTGCACACCCCCTACTGGGGATATGCCCGCAACCAAGGTACACGCCCTTGACCGGAATCGAACCCGGGTCCCTTCAGTCCCCAAGCCGACGCTCTATCCATTGAGCCATACCAGTCCCAGCTGGGTTCAAAATCTTAATGCCATATTTTAATATATATATTTTGATTTTACAGAGAGAAAGATAGTTAGAAACATCGATCAGCTGCCTCATGCACGCCTTCTACAAGGTATTGAGTCCACAACCAAGGTACATGCTCTTGACCAGAGTTGAACCTGGGCCCTTCAGTCCGGGCAGGGGGTGGGGGATGGGGAGGTGGGGGCTGGGATGGGGGGGAAAATGCTCTATTCACTGAGCCAAACCGGCTAGGGCTCTCATGCCATATTTTCAAGGGCATGCGTACCCTGGCTCACTAGTTGTTGTTTTTAAAATCCTCACTCAATGATATGTTTTATTAATTTTAGAGAGGGAGAAATAGGGGAGAGAGAGAGAAAGAAACATGAATGTTAGAGGAAAAGATCTGCCTCCTGTATGATAGCACAGTTCTGGAAACAGAAGTTACTAAATGAATGAGGGGATCACACCTGCAACCTTTATTTGTATGAGGCGATGCTCCAACCAGCTAAGCCACCTGGCCAGGGAACTAGATATTTCTTTTTAGGTATTGCTATGCATACATTCATCCAAAAATGATGTGTTACCTCCCTCTCCGTTCTCCCGTTTGGTTGTTTTAGCCAGGGAGGAATCATCCCATCAATGCAAGATCTGGTATAGGCAAAAAGGAAAAAAAAAAAAAAAGATGCCCCATTGCTTATCTATTACCTAAAGCCAAAAGTTAGCAACCAAATTCCCATGGTTCAGAGCCTCAAGTTAA